AATTTGACTATTAAATTGAAATTTTTATTTATGTATGTCAATTTCATATTATTTTAATAAATTTAATTATTTTATTGATCGCAAAAAATTTAGTACCGTTAAATATATGTTAATAAATAAGATTTTTTATTAAAGAGTTATAAATATTAAATTAATATAAAAATCAGTATGTATAATTTATATTAATAGAATTTTCAATTCAATAATTTAAAAATATTAATTAGAATATGGGTTTTGGACAAATTATTTTAAAATTTTTTTGAGAAGACAAGGCTTACACTATCTTCTCTTTTCGTACAATCTAATTTTCTTATATAATTTTCTTAGGGGGTGTTTGGTAAGAAGAAACTTTTTCTCTAAATTTTTCTGAACTTTTCTTTTTATATGATTATTTATATATTTTTAAATATTAATACTACAATAAAATGACAGTTAAACAATTTTAACTTTTATTTTACTTAACATAATTTGTAACCTATAAACTTTTCTTCTTAACTTTTCCTACATAGCACTCATTTGACAATTTTTCTACTAACTTTTTCTATACTAATTTCTTACCCCATAAAAAATGTTATGAGAATCAATAACTTGTTGGTTCAAGTGGAAAAAACTCAATTCTCTTTAAATAAAGTTTCGAGTTCAAGTTCAAGTTTTATAAATTGAGAAATAAGTACCGGAAGAACTTCATCTTTTATCTGATGCAAGTCAATTCCAGATTAATTAGAACCTAATGTAGTTATCGAATATTGGGAGATTAATACCAAAAAAAAAATGTTATGGGAGAAGTATATATGAGTTCTAACTCTTAAAATAAACTAGAGTTCTAACTTTAAACTACTTTGTTTTATTTTATTAAAATTCAATTCAAAATTTAAAAATTTATTTTATTAAATATTGATATTTAAATTAGAAAATTGATTATGTTAAAATGTATAATTGGTTTTCAAATCTATGAATCAATATTTAGTAAGATAGATTCCTGTATTTAAATTGAAATTTCGATTTCCAAATAGAGGTTAGGACTCTAATTATTTTTAAATCAAAGACTAATATGCACTAATTTCAAAAGTTAATAACCCAATAAAATTCTAATAAAATTTTACTAAAAAATTCTAACCCAATAAAATTCTAATAAAATTTTACTATAAAACTTATAAACTTTTCGTATAGTAGTTTTCTAACTATTTTCATAACCTAAACAAGTTTTCACTAGTAAATTGGCCTTCTAACCAAATGGACCTTCATTGAAATCCCTACCAAAATACCATCCGGTGTGGTTATGGCCATTAATGAAAATATTAAAGCTACCAAAACAATGTTAAAAAATGTTAATTTTGCTTAATTGAATTATTAAGAACAACTAATAATTAATAGAATAAGTAATAATGATTACTTAATAAATTAAAATTAATTTATAAACTTATACTTTTAAAAATCATAACTACTTTTTTTAAAAAAATTTATAAATATTAATCAAATATATATAAATTTAATTATATATAAATTTATTAACTTCAACAATTCTGCTAGTTGTCATGACCACACCCATGACATTCACTACCCAACTTTACCTTTTTTAAATCAGTGTTACCATTAAGTGTCTTCTACAGTACAAAAGTCTTACTTTATGGCAAACATCAATCTCCCATTTCATACACAAAAGAAAGCAATCAA